AAATTATTCTGTTCATAACATTTTCATCTCGAAGACAGCAATCTTTAAACCATGGGATTTAAAAATATGCTATCTTTTGATCGATAATTTAGAAGCAAAAAAGATCCATACCTTTCACAATTAGTAATTTAGCTCGATCGGATGTATTTTTGAAATCAACACGGGGCGATTTCACCGGCCTTATAAATTGCCTTTTATAACGTGGGAACGTTAATAAGACGTAAATATTAATACTTCCGAACGAACATGATTTTATGGATTTGACATTGGTGATTGAAACTGCCCATCAGTTGATTTCTCGATAGTCTTTGGAAAGTTCAATAAAAAAATTACTGGATGCCAAACCATTCATGTGCACTATATCTTTCTAAGAAATATACAGTATATCTTGCAGGGGAATAGGACGGAGTAAAGTTTTCAACTGTTATCCGGTTCATACCGTTCAAAACTTGATGAAAGATGAATAAATAATTGTATGAAAATGTGAAGGTCAGTTTAAAGTGCCTTTGTGAGGGGATGTCGTCATATTATATGGGGAAAACCTACTTCCAAAATACAATAACTAATATTGTAACTGACTTCTTAGATTTGAACCGAGATAATTTGTACCACAATATAAGATTTCAGGGAAATTCACGTCAATACCGGTGCTCTTATGTTATCGACAACTGATAAGCAATGACAAAATATGTATAAAGATAGAAAGAAGCATCCGGTTTGCTGCAAGAATGGCTAAACACACGGACCGACGGCCAACTAGACCGACAATGTAGGTTTCATGGACCTGGCTATTTAAAGGGCAAACAAGACCGACGGCGCACGAGGCAAGCCTTCTAGCCCTTTTCAGAGGGTTGCCTACTCTCGCAGGGTGTTCTGCGAGATAGATATTCTGTTATACTTCCTTTTTCTCTGTTTTGTCGATCTCGTAATTATATTAGTAATAATGCTGATACTGCTAATGGAAATGATAATACTATTAGTAATAATGATGATAATCTTAATAAAAAAGCTGATAATAATAATAATGATAATGATAACACTAAACTGTAAAAAGCGTTTTATACTAATTTTTCTACATTCTGTAGTATTATTACACCGGCCTTTGGTCCCGTGGGCTCAGGAGCAATTTCTATAATATGATTAAGGGGAGTGCTTGGGGGATCTTGGGGTTTTTGCAATAATTGTTTTATTTTTTATTTAATTTTAATGTGGGCTAGCGGTTTTGTGAACCCCTTGCCAATGTTGGTTCCGTAGTCTGGTGGTCTCATGGGCTGTTGGTCTACATGTTAGTGGTGAACCTCTTATGTCAGTTCCATAGGCTAACCCCGGCGTGGATTATGACGGGAGGAAAGGCCTTCTAAATCATAAACATTTGGAATATATGTGCCACTAATAAAACAGTCTCGATTATATCAATATTTGAGTTACCGACTCAAAGTATGATTTTTAGAGAAAAACCTTTGATTTCAAAGAAAATTATACAAGTTCAGACACATCCAATTTACATTTTGTGGTTAATAGTCTGATGCAATATCATTTCTTTTTAAAAGATTAAAAATATTGATGACGTTGAAAAGAGAGAACATCCTGTTTTTCAGACGTGGGCCTAAGCAGACGAATAAACGACCCTTTGATATTGAAACAATGCTTCTGAAAGGTCACTGGGGTCTTCCAAGATATTTTTTACTGGGCTTTTAATATTTGACTTTACATGATCATCATGGATGATGAATAGCTAACACGTTCTGTTTGTCTTAGCCGATAAAAATGGCACGGATCAGGATGCACAATCTCACCGAGGTTCCAAAGTGTTCATATTACAATGCAACCTATATTTTAACATGATACAAACTTTTTCGTATGCGGGGGACCGGGGAGGGTATTGTGAAATTGAATTTGGGAATGGGAGGTATACTTTACCTGTTCTCCTGAGGGGCGGCAGCAGGGGCGACAGGCTCTCTAAGGTTTGAATATTGCAATTACCAATATTTTGACAATCGTCTTCTTATATTCTGGTAACTGTCACCCTACAGATCAGTCATTGAAGTAGCGTTTTTGTAAGGTGTATATTCTATCATGTTTATGTCATGGGACATTATTCTGACGGAAAATGCATCGTCACTACACAAAAGTATCAACTAGAAATTTGACATTCATGACAGATACGTCACCAGTTTTGGTAACGCATATTATGACCCACAAAGAAGAAGAAAAGGGAAAAAGAAAATTTACAACAAGAAGAAAAAGAAGGATAAAAAAGGAGAAGATTAAGAAAATAAAGAAGAAGAAGAACAACAACAACAACAATAAGAAGAAGAAGGATCAGAAAGAGACGGAGATAAAGAAGAACATACCTAAACACGTTTCCATTTATCAAATACTGAATATTCCTACATTCAGATCACTCTTATACCAGCATAAAACGTGGCATTGTCACGGCCCTCTTTTCTCCCTGAACAAGATGAGCTTTATCCCTCCTACACCGCCTGCTATGTCTGTACACCCCCCCTTAGTCAGACTTGAACCGTCATGCATGTCTAACCCCATGTTACCATACTTTTTGTTTAATTCTTACAAAAAATAAAAATACATTCTCTCACATACTATTCTAAAAAATATCTCGAGAGAATAATTTTTTTTGTAATCCTTAAATTCATAAAATACATGAATAGCGAATACTTAATTCCTTAGGTAACAACTCTCATTTCCTACCTGTAAGGAGCATATGTATCAATGCCAACAAGTGCTTAAAATTTATTGTTATCCACAACTAATAGTAATAACATGATATGGCACCTCAAAGAATTCGCAGGTTTTGTTTTGTTTGGTTCTGTTTTTACTAAATTAATGAAATGTGGGCCTATGGTGACTATAGAGCTTGTTAGAATGCTTGCAATATATCAAGTTCAATGTCAGTTTTATTTATAATAATAATAATAATAATAATAGCCTAATAGTCCACTCCAAATTTTATTAAACCGAAACGGAAATTCTTTTTGCTCAATTGATCGTGAGCCCGGCAGCCACTGAGCAGCGCCAGATCGACGTTGCTCTATCTCTATTTAGTTTGTTATAACGAATTTGTCACAATCTAGATAGCAACATTTTTAACTGATTATTTTTGTAAATATTAATTTTTGTCAATCTTGAATATGACACGAAAAATATAGGAACTGTCGCAATCATTAATTTCATTTCATTCACCACCACCATTTTACGCCCTTTGTCGTAAAAATGATGATGATCATCATCCCCGTAATCCTGAAGACTATCGATGTCATAATGAAAACAATCGTCTTTTTTATCATCATCATTGTCATCATAATCATCATCATCTTCAAAATCCTCTTCTTTAACCTCGGTGATATCATCATCAGCATAATCATCACCATCATCACCACCATCATCATTATCAATACCATCATCATGTTCATCATATTAACCAACATCATCATCGCTATCATGATTACGTTGATTATTATTATCTTTGTCATGGTTATATTCCTCTTGATCATATCCTTAATTATCATCATCATCATCCTCATCATTATCATCAGTATCATCAACACCACTGACAGCATCACTGTCATCATATTTAGTTGTTTCAAATGACATTGTCGACATCAATAACCACAAAGACTTGATTAGCATGATTAGACAAGCAAAATATATTATGTATATTTCACGCATGTATTCTGAGTAATGGTACAACTGAAAGATTTATTGTTAGTTAAATTGACAGAAGAAAACGGCACCTAAAGCAAGGGGAAACAGGTGAAAGGGAGAGGTAATGATGAGGAGAGATAGATAGATAGCGGGAGATTGGTTGAGGATGAGGGAGATAAAGATGGATGTGTTTGCATAACAGCATGATAATATAGCATATGGGAAAAGAACTTTGAAATATATATCATAACATAAAATAAAATCGGTAATTATAGTACTCTAAAGAATACACAGTCATGTAGAAATACACAAAAATAACGGGTACATCTGTTTAAATAAATCAAGCTTTTATCACACTTTATTTTCTTGAAGAAACTTCCCTAGAAGAAGACCACTCACAAATAGCTTCCCTCTGATTTTTAGAGGTTGATACCTGTATTCTATACTTCCACAATACAGAAATCAGCTTCAAATAATATCCATGTATGTTAAGGAACATTACAATCGTAATTACCGAAAGGTAGTGCCATTAAACGAGCCTGAATTGACACATGCGCGCACACGCACGCGTGCATAACTCTATAACTCGAATTCCATATGAAATGACCCTCTCTAATACCTTCTCACAGTGTTCCAATACCCAGCAAAGTCATGTAATATTGGCGGTTTATTGTGCTTTCTTTCATAACACTAACGATCTTTGGCGATAAATTTATATGAAGTTACGTTTGCGAGCATATTACATTTTCTTACCGTAATTTGTGTAATTCTGTTTTTTGGAAGCAAGCAAGCAAGCATATGCCTTATTTTATTTACTTGAATTAAAAGTGACTTGCAGCATAATTGATAAGGAAAGAGAGAGAGAGAGAGAGAGAGAGAGAGACTGGGAGAGAGACGAAGAGAAAGAGAGAAAGAAAGATAGATAGAGAGAGTTAGATAGAGAGAGAGAGAGAGAGAGAGAGAGAGAGGGGGGGGGGCGTCGAGCGGGTCAGAAACATACATTATACAAATAAAATCGCGCCAACTTGAATGTGCTAGCCACTGTGAACAACATAAAACGCGCTCACGTTCACAAGAAAGAGAGAGATAGAGAGAGAGAGAGAGAGAGAGAGAGAGAGAGGGGGGGGGGTGGAGCGTCGAGCTGGTCAGAAACATACATTATACAAATAAAATCGCGCAAACTTTAATGTGCTAACCACTTTGAATAACATAGAACGAGCTCACGTTATACTACAATTACAGTTACCACCATTTCCAATATTTCCAAAGAATGATTTGAAAAAAGAAAAAAAAAAAGATGCTGAAACCAATAAATCAAATTAAATCAAATCAAATCAAAATATCCACATTTTTTATTGTGAAGTATTCCGCCACATCTTGTTTGTAAGGAGTAATATATAACCCCACTGTTGGTTGATATGGTATCGCATACAATAGGCTACTCTCTTGCTAAGAAATGAATGTCTTTTTTCATAGTGCACTTATTATACTTTTCATTTCAATTTGTCATGAAATAACATTTGAGGAACAAAATAAAATTTGTTTACATATTATCTACAATATTTGCTTCACAATAGTTTCTGCGTCGCCTTTATATAACGTGTTCGACCCCCCCCCCCCATATGATCAGACATTCGATAATTGAGCTATTTCATGCTCTACTCAATCATATAAAAGTTGGAGACCGATGGGTCTAGTTACAATTATTAAGAGACTTGTAACGATAGTCACTTCTTAGCCGTCGCTTGTAGTGCTTGACCACGACTACGAGTATGACTGAGAAAACCACGACGATGACGGCCATGCCGATAACTGAGTGCATCCAGGCAGACGACGAGGACTCCCCACCTGGATAATTTTGGATAAAGGAGAAGCGATGTCGAAAACAAATTAATGTTCAAGTACCATTGTTATTTGCATCCATATACATTTACATATGTACTATGGATATCTGAGACATATTGTTAAAATCTCGCCTCTCATATACATTTTCTTTCACTGGCTTCGTGCTAGTGACCGTTATTCATGATCACTTACAAAATGCAAAGTAGAACCATGATACTGGTGTTCATGAATTTGAGTAAAAGGTTAAGCTATCTATCTTTCTAACTATTTATCAAACTCCTACCAAATCGGAGGTTGATTGCAACATTTTCCCACTCTTCTCCGTTTTTGAGAATTCAAGTTCACTCCTGTAGTATTACAGTGTATTTATCCACTGCATATTGTTATACGTTACCTTCTGTCGTATTATTTTTGTAATAATAGCATGTTGATCATGATTTGTTTTTATATGGAAAATAAATACTGATCTGCTCGTTAAATAATAGAAATAATAATGAACATGATAATAACATTGATAACAAAAACAATAAGGATAACAGTGATAACAATAATAATGATGATAATAATAATAATAGAAATAATAATAACATTAAAGATAATAACGATACAGTATGGTTCTCTATGCTAATATCATATGAACTTCCTGATTTTACCCCCAAGTATTAACCATTCAGTTGATTAAACTATAAGAAATGAGAATTTGTTAATGTATGTTATTTCAGAAGTGTAAATACACAAACCTTCGAGTGGAATAGCGAGGAGTTGTTGCTCTACACCAACATCGATATTCCATCTGAACGGCCCGGCCTTGACGAATTTGACGACGGGATCGTGATTCGCGCTGGCCCTTTTCTTTCGGTCACCTCCTTCAGCCAATAATGTCTTGTATAACATTTGACCCTTCAGCTTGGCGCGCTCCCAACCGCTCATGTGACCGTCCGTGCGTCTCTTCTTGCGCGAGGCTGGACAGTTGACGGTGCAGAAAGAATCGGTTGAGGCTTCGTGGCAGACGAATACCTCGCAGTGAACGTAAACCTGATAAATAATGAGACAACATTCAGAACTTACTCAGACTATGCCCATAATTTTTTTCTTGAACAGAATATCGCCAATACATGGACCAGAGTACTTCGGAATTTTAAACGATAAACACTCCACCTTTATATCTTATGTGGTATTACGTTTTGAATGTTGGTTCCCCATTGACTAAATTAGCTATTAATATATTGTCCATTGAATATTCAGGGGCCACCCGCTTAGCCGGGAAATGGTTTAAACCATATGGCCCGAATTCACAAAGGAAGGTTTGTCGACAAACCAGGTTTTCGTACGTCATAATATATGACGCACGAAAACCTTGGTTTGTCGACAAACCTCCTTTGTGAATTCAGGCCAAAATGTTCATATTTATTGATTTATACAAAATTAAAATAAATAACAAAGTACAATTTTTCTCATAGTCTTTACATGTTCGCAAAATAGTTGTATGCTGCACTACATTCTATTTTGTTCGCTTGTGTATAGCTTCTTCCTATAGGAATATTTATTAAAACACAAGAATTCGAATATATTTACAACTAATTTCATGGAAATGTGTTTTTCAAAGAGAAAGCAGAAATGAAAAATTGAAATAATCAAATCAAAATTGAAATGAAATGAACGTGCACTTATATCTACCCATGCCATCTCAAAACATGTGCCGTTTAAAAGTTACTTTGGTAGGTATAGATGTTGAAACAAGAATAATTATTTAATTCCACAAAAGTCGTAAATATCATCATGTACCATAATTATATGCACAATACAAACCTCCTTATCAGTGTCGTCAACGAATCTAAATGAATTGAGTTCAAACTGAACAGTTGTATCGCCCACGTCGTTCGATAAGAACGCCAGAGTATCATCACTTGGGCACCTGCGAAAAACCAAAGCGAACAAGGGAGTATATTTTTAGTATTAACGTGCACAAATGACAAAAAAACATGTATTACTCATGATGCAAGGGATTCCATATCGCTACACTGTATTCAAAATATTAGATTCGAGATTACTTTTACAAAGAGATATTTCTTCAGAATAGCGTGAGTCTAGTTTTAACTTGATCAACGAGTATCATTCATACGTTGTTTATTCACGTTTAATTCTTAGTTGTGACGTCATCGGCCCCCACAAAAGAGCAGTATCGAACCTAGGTTAGTCTACTAGGGAACTAACCGCAAGACTAAAACTTTAATTTGTTTCTCTTAATTGGTTGAAGCTCAAAATTTGACTACAAGCTTATTCCCGAGAGTTTCAACGAATATCTCCATAGCTTGGTGACATCAACATCAAGTTGTACATCTTAGAAGGCAAAATAGATGCATCAATCATGATTGGTTAAAAATGAAGCAGTATCTAATTAAATCTTGCCATTTATATCAGTGTAATGGTTACGACGTAATATTGGTCGAGACTTGCAATCAATATTTACGCTGTATTTAATCATAACGCAGATTTCATTAAGGCACTATTTTATGAGTTGGTCTCATTGGTTGATGTTACAGACTTCCAATCAATTCTTCCAGATCAAGCCAATCAGCATCTCCGTTGCAACGTTTCACAACAGCGACTCACCCATCGTCAACCAAATCATGGCTAGTTGAATCTGTTGAATCTACCGTAGGCGTAGCCCAACATTGCTCCGCGACTAGACGGTTGTCGGCGACATCCGTTACGAGCTGCAGCTGAAAGAACAACTTCTCGTTGATATCGAGGTCAACCGCCCCTCCGTCCGCGTAGCGATGCGTGAAAAGCGAGGTGTTATAGATTCCGAACGTCGTCTTGTACGCGCCGGTCGCTTCCAAGTTCTTTCCCAGAACGTAATCAAGGACTGCGTAACGGACGGCGCGCACTTCCTCATTCCTTGGGTATGAGCACTTCAACGGAATCTGGATATCGATGACACGGGTGATGACGTCCGTGAAGTAGTTGTTGACCACGCGGTTTGTGTAGGTGTCATAGGTGGAATTTTCCTGGATATAGTAAATGGGGTATTGGGATTAACATCAAGTCATGTAGTGTATTTATATGTGACGTATACAATACCTAAGCCGAAGGCAGGGCTTTAAATAATGGCTCGATGGTAATACCGATGTGAAAATATGTTGTATTATTTAAGCGATTGTCATCATGTAAACTCTAAGGTATTTTCTATCCTTTTGATTTAGGTCCTCTCGAGTGCATTCAAGTTGCCTTCGTGTCAGATGTGCGCAGCTAAGACAATGCTATCACTTTTGAACGCGTTTTGACAAAAAAAAAAAAATGTTGTTATATTGCACCTGCGCACTTGCGGACAAAAACAAAACGTTATGAGCCGCGTGACAGCTTTTCAGCCAATAAGACGGTCTCTATTTAAAAATATCATGTTTTATTTTTTCACAGTTCTCAAATACCAATTGCAGGTATGCGAGTGAGCCAAGGTCAGCAGACATATTTTGATCACTTATAGTTGGCGGTTCGAGTCTCGCTGAGGCACTAAATGCCATTTGGCTAGACATTAATCTACATGTGCCCCTCTTCACCCATGTGTACTAAATGGCTTCCTGTGGGAATGTATTCCGGGATTTTTCTTTTAAGCGCCTTAAGGCAGCTGGGCTAAAGTTAGCGTCATGGTACTATTCTGTAAGCTCTTTGACTTCGTCGCTTTACCGTTTTGTTGGTGCCACACCCCGACAGCGACGTGTTCACCCTCATCATGTCACCATCGATGTATCCGGTGCAGCCCAGATCGCCTTCCATCCCGATGTCAGTCACATCGATGTCCTCAAGGAGTACGAGGGGTATCTCGACTTCCATGCTGGTCGGACCACAGGTGAGCATGATCAGGTCAGAGAGAGCCTTGTCTGGTATGGGGAAAGGGTGGTGAGAATGGAGGGAAGAGAGACAGAGGGGGGGGGGGGGGGGCGGTGAGATAACAAGAGAGGCAGGGAGAAATTCGGAGAGAATATTAGGGAAACGTTTACAAATAGTCCAAAATGAAAATGGAGATAGAAAGAGAGAGGGAGAAAGAGAGAGAGAGAGAGGAAGAGAGGGGGGCGGTGAGATAACAAGAGAGGCAGGGAGAAATTCGGAGAGAATATTAGGGAAACGTTTACGAAATAAAACAAAGTGATAGACAGTGAGATTGAGAAATAAGGCCAACGTAGGCAAAAGGTTCAGGGGTGTGAATATAGGAGAGCGACCGGGAGAGACATAGATAGAGAAAGGGAGCAAGTAATATACATGTAATGGGGAAAGAGAATGGAGAAAGAAGAACATGGGGTCTTTGATTGATAGCGGGGATGATAGATGTACAGTTTCCTTGTACCTGTTCTTCTTCTTCTTGTACTTTCTCCCCTCTTCTTAAATATTACTAACTGTAATCTTTCTATTATCATTATTATTAATATCATTATTATCATCCTCATTATTATTCTGTTTATCGTTGTTCTGGTTGTTCTTGTTCTTGTTTTTGTAGTAGTAAACGTAGTAGTAGTAGTATTAGTAGTAGTAATAGTAGCAGTCGAAGCCGTAGTAGTAGTGGTGATGGTAGTAGTAGTTGTGATGGTAGTTGTAGTAGTAGTAAACGTAGTAGAAGTATAAGTAGTGGTAGTAGTAGTAGTAGTAGTAGTAGTAGTAGTAGTAGTAGTAGTAGTAGTAGTAATGGTGGTGATAGTAGTAGTAGTAGTAAACGTAGTAGTATTATAAGTAGTAGTAGTAGCAGTAGTAGTCGTAGTAGTAATAATAGTAGTAGTATTAGTATAGTAGTAGTAGTAGGAGTAGATGTAGTAGTAGTAGTAGTAGTAGTAGTAGTAGTAGTAGTAGTAGTAGTAGTACTAGACGTAGTAGTAGTATTAGTAGTAGTAGTAGTAGTAGTAGTAGTAGTAGTAGTAGTAGTAGTAGTAGTAGTAGTAGTAGTTGTAGTAGTAGTAGTAGTAGTAGTAGTAGTAGTAGTAGTAGTAGTAGTAGTAGTAGTAGTAGTGGAAATAGAAGTAGAGTAGCAGTTAGTAGTTGTCGCAGTAGTAGTTTTATTTAAGTTTTATTATAATCATCTTCATCTTCATCACCATCATCACCATGATCTTAATTACCTGTACAGTTAGGGGCAACGCCTGACCACTCCCCGTCAGTGCATACAATTTCGCTCTCGCCTTCGAGGTCGAAGCGGTCATCGCAGTAGTAGAAGACCACCGTGTTGTGGTAGAACCCATCGCCTTCGTACTCGTATTGCCCGTCGACAGGTTCGCCTGGATCTGGGCAGTTTGCTATTTAGCAACAAACAATTAAATGAAATAAAATTCAGAGATTAAGTTTAAACAAAATTACAATGGCGATGACAACGAGGGTTTAATTGATTTCTTTGAGTAAGATTTAAACAGTTTATTAGCAATACTGTTAGGCAAAACATGTATCAATGTCATATCCATGCGCATGAATAAGTTTGAAAAAGTGATATTGAATGCTATGAGAGGCGAGATTTTAACAATATGTCTCAGATATCCATAGTATATGTACAAAGTCAAGGTGACTTTTTACCATAACATGTCACGTCCTCTGGGTCGAGTTCACCATCGTCACACGTGAGCGTTGTCGTAGCTGTTGAGTCGCCGCCTCCTACTGTGAAATTCGCGTCGCATGTTATGATGAGCGACTGGGATGTGAACACAGTGTCTCTTGGCGCATCATAGTCAGAATTTTCTACAACAGGTGGTGTGCAATCCCCTATGGAAGGAAATGAATAAATTAATGGACAAATGCATAACTAAATAAATAAATATATCGAGCAACAAATACTTTAATTAAACAATTAATGCATAAATGAATATATATATATATATATATATATATATATATATATATATATATATATATACACACACACTATTCCATGTATTTGAATAAATGAACGAATGAATACACGATTAAAAATGTAAACAAATAAGCAAATAAAGAAAGAAAACATGAGTCTAATAAATAGAAAGTGACATCTGAACGGTTTTACTGCAGATGTTCCTTCGGAAGTTGATATACGGTTCAATGTCCGTCACAATTTTTATTTTTTTCCACTATTTGTATCATTATTATCGTGATTATTAACATTGTTATTTTCATTATTATCAGTTAGTAGTAAAAGTATTTGTATTATTATCGTTATTATTATTATTATTGCTATTATCATCATTATTACTATTTCTATTATTAATATCATTACCGTTATTATTATCATCGTCGTCATCATCATTATTATCATTACTGTTATTGTTAGGATTATTTATAGAAAGTGACGTGTGACGTCATAATGGTAAATACCACTTACGTAGACAGTCGAGAGGAACGGGACTTAAAGTGCCGTCGACGCATGTGAGATACTGTGTTTCGTTTTGACCTGTAGAGTACCCGGTGTTGCAAGAGATCATCAGGTCTGTACCATGCGTAACCTGAGGGTTGCTGGTGTTGTAGTCAGAGCTAGGTATCACTGGTGGAAGGCAGTCCGCTAAAGAGGAGATAATGGTTCAAATTAATGACTTAAAATAGGATTCGTGAAATTATCCATACAACAAAACTAAACACACACTTTCAAGGGCGTTATGAGTGCATCCTCCCGAAGATGACGATAAGTTGATCTCTGTATTAAAAAGTTATTGCATTCACTTCAATCTGTGCAGTTCTGGTAACCAAAGTTAACCTTCTATCCAAGTTCTGACAGAATATAATAGCCGAATAGAGAAATGCATTTGTAAACTGCTTACCTGCTGCGATTTCCTCAAAAAAAGATCAAGTATGAGACAACCTGCTATACTTTAATGAGACATTAAACTAGATCTATTCGATAGATGTCGATAACGCTTTTACTAACCCAGTTTTACATCCTTTAAACCATAAATTAGATGATTCTTGGAAATATAAGCGATGAATAGGGAACTACGCCTCATGAAGAAAAAAAAACACGTGTTTTTACTATTTGTTTTACTAAGTTATTATTGTTGTCTGCTTACGATTGGGGAAAAAGAATGAATTCAACTCAACTGAAGTGAGGTAAACAATGGGGTATTATCTTGAGTCAATTAAAAAAAAAGAGGGGGTAGGCCTACAGTTCTTGGAAAGGTAAACAAAAAATAATTTGAGCTTTTTTAAAGCCTTTTTTTTTTTAGTTCAGCATGATAATATGTCATATAATTAATACCCCCTGAAAACGATGGCTCTTAGAATGCTCTCATGTTCAAAATGTAACAAGAAATATATTTGAAGTGTTTGAAAAAAAGTTTCATGCCATACATTTGTGTACTCCCGTATACACATCTTTGTGTACAGTGCATGCATCACTATTATAATTACCTTCGCAAGATGGAATAGATGCGGTCCAGTTGCCATCGTTACACGTGAGCGTCTCGTCACCTACCAGAGTGTGATTGGTATTACAGCTGAATGTTACGGTCTCCTCATGGTAAAAGGGAGGGGTGTCCCCCGAATAGGAGCCGTCCTCGATAATCCCAAAATCTGGGCAGTTTGCTGCAATTAAGAAGGAAATATTAGGTGGAAGGTTGCAGCAAAGTTGTGAAACAGTTATTAACTATAGTGAAGACAGCTTCATCTGTTCACCAGTACAAGGTACAGATCATACCCACGACATTGACTCCTCTCCCGCCTTTCTTTCACACACACACACACACACACACACGCACACGCGCACGCACACATACAAGCCCACACTCATAAACCGTCTCTCTGTACAGCACCACGCCCCTCTCACTCTTTCCCCTACATATCCCTCTCTCTTCTTCTTCCATACTCATACATACGCACACAAACACACCCACTTTATCTTCTTAATGTGAGACTGTTACATACCGTAGCAGGTAGGATCCGCATCGTTTAGATTACCGCTATCACACGTCAGAGTTGTATAGACATCATCGCCGTTAGAGTACCCATTGTCGCAAGAAACGTTGAATGTCACTAAATGGAACACGTCCTCTTTCTGATCGCTGTAGTCCGAATCTTCCACGACGGGAACCCCGCAATTTTCTAGTGAACAAAAGAGTATTTTGAATAAAATCATACTTTTGAGATTTAACGATAAGACATGGAAAAACAGAAATTGAAATAACAACTCCCATTGATAAACCACACGGAGAACTTTATCCGTTAAACATCCCCATTCATCAGTCAAAAAGAGATTGGATATTCCGAATTAATGAAACAACTTAAACTTCAGCGAACACGCCTGACCTTTGACCACAACTGTTCTTTCCGCTGATGCGAAAAAAATGGATGCAGAGATTCGATTTGACTACAATTAAAGAAATCAGATGATGAAATCAATATAGAATGTTTAATAACAAATGTACTTCGTAACTGTAACTTGCGGTACCATGCTTGCTCATAGGCTTTCGTTAGACGAAAATTAGTTCCCAAACCAAAGCAAATCGGATAAAAAGGTCACTGCACTAGGGTTCTATGCTGTGCATCAGAATGGTGTGTTAACTCATGCGAAAATTATCTCGTTAACGAAGGACACCCTTTGTCCTCCCAAATCGACTGTTTCCCTCACAACCCATAGAGAATATTTATTTATAGCCCGGTTTTTTTTATACCACAGTGTGATACTTGCGAAAAATTATATTATAAACTGGCAAGGGGCGTTTTCTACAACAACGTTTAAGGGTGTTGCACAATCGAAAGTAATGTATGCATTTTAAAAATCGCAAATTGGCTAATTACCATAGCAGACTGTATCATCTTCACTTAGCGTGCCGTCGTTACAGGTAATTAGAGTTTCCCGAGAGTCCGGCCCCGTGGAATAGTTGGACCAACAAAGTATGGTAAATTCGGTTGCGTGGAAGACATCGGGTTGTTGCGACTGGTAGTTGGAATACGACACGACTGGTGTGATACAGTCGGCTGTTGACAGAAATATAAAAAAACATAGAGGGGATTAAGAAAATAAAGTGCACAGTTTTATGGCTTACAGACGTATCATATACCAACCGTCAACGTTCGCGATGTTTCACGACATTGTAAGATCAAGCCTAACTAGTCTCCTAACGTGGGATGATCTTTCACAAATGTTAAGCCTCGTACAGATATGACGATATGACGATGTACTCGGTGTACGCTTTGGTTTCGTGTAAAACAGAGCTTAATGAACACACTCATGACCATTATTGCGTCCGATTGAAATACATTTACAAATAAACACGATTAAAAAAAAAGTTTCTCTCTACAGCTGCCTATTTGAATGAGGCAAAAAGCAATGTGACTATAATGAAACGGAGATTTTTTGTGTGTTAAACTGCCGTATGTCAAAACTACGATTGATCCCGGGAAAGATTGACAAACTTTCAGTTTACGTAGATTGATACAACACCAGTTTCTTTGTCTAGATACGATTTCTTACCATAGCATATGGGAGCTGTGGCGTCGAAGTTTCCATCGGTGCAAGTCAAGGTTGTGTTTCGGCTAGTGCCCGTAGAGTACCCGGGATTACAGGTGATGGTGATTGCCGTGGTATGGTAAACATCATTCCCTTGAGTGGCGTAGTCGGAGTAGTCCACTACAGGCGGTGTGCAGTCCTCTATGACCCACGAAAATCAGGGTAAAAAACAGTTTAGTTTAGTGCTACATTTGCCACTTTCATCCAGATGATGTATTGGGTATGATCGCGTTGGATTATATAGTCATATTTAAAATAACAACTACATTTATTAAACGATGTCACATAATACAGTAAAACCTGCTATAGTCACTGTGACCACCTGTTTTGAAAGGCCACCTGTTAGTAAGACCACATTTCTTGCTCCCCTTAAATCGATGCTTTACATTAATGAAAACAAATTATGTTGTAAGAAAAAAAACCTTCCTATAAGGACCAATGTTCATGTCCCTTGGATGAACTTTCTAAACAGGTTTCACTCTACCAATTTTGACTCACCATAGCAAAGAGGCAAGGCCGGTTCAAGCTCTCCGTTATCGCACGTTGACGTGGTGCTTCGTGATTGGCCATTGGAGTAACCGTCATCACACGTCACAGTGATGGTGGAGCCCGATTCCAGGAGAGGCGATGATGACGTTGCATTGGAATTTGGTATCACGGGCGGCTTACACTCGGCTGAAAACGGTGATAAGACAAATAACATGAGTGATGATCGTCATATCCACGCCCCCAGCTCAGTGTTATTTAGGGTACGCATATGCGTGTTCCCAGCGACCCCCTCCCTTTCAGCAAAAGTCCGGTGTGTAAAGTCAATACGGGTCGACCTTTTTTTTTTGGAACAAGCCGGAGAGTTTGGGAACACGCATGGATTTGCATCGGGGATGTCTCTGACTTGCACGTTTTACATGCCATAATATATCATATTGATATTAGTGCAACAGGAAACAATAAAAATGATAATGCAATATTATAGCAAGGGGCTGTTATTCAGTTGGGTAAACCACGACACGATCACCAGAAAATAAACATCAGAAATGTATACTTGTAAATCAATGTATTTGCAACCACTAAGCCCACAAGATACTAGAAAATATTTAATCTTTGAGAGGAACTACCGTGACAGCGAGTTTTGAAATTGCTCGATTCAAAACGTCTTTAAAAAGATGTTTGCTACCATCTATTTATACATATTTTCTTTTATACCCCAGAAAATATCAGGAGAGTGGTAACATTAGGGAGAGGGAGAAACAAAATACAGCCGACAATCTATTGATGCTAGAAAGAAAACAGCCTTCCAAATAGGAAATCAATAATAATTATTATAATGATAATAATAATAACAACATTAATAGTAAAAGTAATTTAATATTAATAGAAGTAGTAGTAGTAGTGGTAGTAGTAGTATTAGTAGTAGTAGTAGTAGCAGTAGTAGTAGTAGTAGTAGTAGTAGTAGTAGTAGTAGTAGTAATGCTACTACTACTTCTACTGCTACTACTACTGTTACTTCTACTATTTATAATGACGATGATGATGGTAATGCTATTGCTAATAATAATAATAATAAATTTGATGATGACAATTTTCATAACACGTCTACTACTACTACTACTACTACTACTACTACTACTACTACTACTACTACTACTACTACTATTAATACTACTAATAGTGTTCATAACATGTATAATACTATACTACTACTCCTCATAGTACTACTACTACTAATAAATTAACAATACAGTCTAAATAAAATAAACATAACAAATTGTGGAAATTGAGTTTACCTAAACATATCGGCGGATCGTTATCAAATGCTCCGTCGTTGCACGTGATTTCTGATTGACCAATCAGGGTGAAGTTGTCGGAGCATTCAAAGGTGACCACTTCCAGGTGATAGAAGGGGCTCTCTCCACTTGTTATTATACCGTTATCTGGATCAGATATCTCCGGACAATTTTCTGTAATGTTGGTTACGGAAACAAACAAAACGATCTACGGTATTAACATGGGTTTCCATCAGAAAATGGTGGTTTAACATTCGAGAACTTACTTCCAAATAAGCTTCAATGTAATTTCCGCGTTGTGCCGTTCATGTCAAATGTCAGATTTGACCTTATAATTGGCCAAAACAAATATTTAGGGAGGTAAAGTGTAACAAAAAACCATGAATTACTACCAAAGATTTCTAAACTTTTAAATTTCACAATAAATCATGAACTTGTGTACACTTTGCATAATAATAAATGGTTTTCATGCATTTAAACGTGACCTTTCATATATACTCATGATTCTTAAAACAATATATTATTTATATAAAAATTAAATAAATAATAATAACAATAATAGAAAATATAAAATAAACAGAAAACCGAAATTGTGGAAAATAAAACCTGCATTAACGATATGGACTTTAAAAAACTTTAAAACTATAACTGGCATTTGATTGACCGATATTTGGAATGCTTGACAAACTTGGGCAATTAATATTACCGTAGCATGTTGGCGTATCCTCCTGGAAGCTCCCATCATTGCACGAAAGCGTAGCGCTCTGGGAGTCTGCATCGATGGAGTAGTTCGCCCAGCAGGTTATGGTGATGTCGGTGTTGTGCAATACATCAGGCTGTTGGACCCTGTAGTCGGAGTATTGTACGGTCGGTGGTTCGCAGTCCTCTGAAAGTTTAAAAGCACGAGCGGTTTTAGATCGAGGGGGTCGAGGGGGAGGGTTGGCTTTGGAAAGGCTTCATGAAGGGGGGGGGGGGGGGTGAATAACATGTGCGGGGGAGGGGACACGTCCTCAGAAATAAAATAATGAATACAACCTGCAGAACCGCTCCTGCTTGACTCACTGTCAGCGCCGAAGACAGATATTTATATATTTCCGTCGGGTAAATTGTAATATTAGTATTCCGGTTACGTTTATGCTTTCGGTGGTGACATCTAATAGCTATTTATATCACAGGTAAAGCCTAGCATGTGCGAATGACCCTCAGTTTTTAGAAACAATTAACAGGCCATTTACGATTTCAATCTTTACATTTCCGACCTCTAATGGAGAGTGCCATGATCTTACCGTAGCATGTAGGTAGTGTATCAGGAGACAGGACACCATCATTACAAGAGAACTCTGTAGCCCTTGTCGTACCCGTGGAAAAGCCAGAGTCACACGTTACGTTGAAAGTCGTACCATGCGTGACTGAACCCCCAGATGAATAATCTGAATCCGGTACAGCACTCACAGCGCAATTCGCTGAAGAAGGACAATATTGGATCAATTATCAATTTTCAATGCTGAAATCACGAATGTATTTCTAAATTTCCATTCAATTCGATTGTCAGTGTCACACAATTATCACGGAACGTTTGCTTTTTAGTTGTGGATTATGGATTATGGATAAGCAATCATGCACAGGCTTTCATCGGAGTACCTTTGAAATAAGTGCTACGTCCTTAAAATATGTGGATAACAGTATTTACATTACAGTACTAGTCCATATGCTGATTATTTTTGAAATATCAAATGGTCCTAAAACTGTTCTTTAGTTCATTTCTAGGTATTTTATGTTGTGTCATATATATTTCTTAACTTTGTCCTTTTTCAGATTTCTTTTTTTCGGATATCAATCTAACACCCTGTGTATTAAAAATAGAACCTGCTATATATAATACTTTGATAGCACATTTAATCAAGCACGTATAACACCCGGTGTATCGGCTTATTAGGAATCCACCCTTTTCATAACACATCTTTAGCACCAAGGTTTAAAAACCGATGTATTACCTTTCTTTAAAAACCTATCACTTTGAAAAACGCATATTCAACACCCAAGTTTAACACCCGGTATACTTACCTAAGCAGACTGGTTGAACGTCATTCCAATCGCCGTCACCACACGTGAGAGATGTGGAGCCAACCAACGTGAAACCATTGTTACACGTGTATGACACCTGTTCGTTATGGTAGAAAGGGATTGAATCTCCAGAGCGGACTCCGTTGTCAAAATCGTCAAGAGGGGGACAGTTCGCTGTGTCCATGAGAAATGTTCAATAAAAGAATATTAAGGAGGGCGATAACTCTGAACACCAAAAAACAAAAAAGTGATCGAAAAACGTAAACAAAAACGCAAGCAAATACAGTACAAAATATGGATAGTATTTCATAAACTATAACTAAATGGAAATTAAATGAAAGAATACAATGTGTCTACAGTCCTCATTATTTGATGTATCCTGTGTTTATCATTTGTTCCATAAATAGGTTCTGAAGTGTAGTATGGGAGGATCGTTCATAGTCCTCCTGGCCACAATGTGACAGAACAAGGCAACCTAAAGACAAATGTTCTCTTCAGAAGATGTGCATGTTACACACGTGCTTTATGAGCAAACAGTGTTATCTTTTTTTTTTATATTTAAGGTACATGTATCAAAAAAGAATTGGTGGAAACCGAAAAATCCATATCGTTTGCTTTCACGCATTTTCCTAGCTGCATAGATTTGATGCCAAAACGCTTGCCACTCTGCACACGCAGGATTATTACCGTAACACACTGGAGGGTCGTCGTTGAAATTGCCGTTGGTACATGTCAAGTCCTGGTCGGTGCCGGTACCGGTTGAGTAACCGGGGTCGCAATTAACCGTAATCGTGGAAGCGTGGTCGACCGGAGGCTGTTGCGCATCGTAATCGGAGTTGTCCACGACTGGCGGACTACACATACCTGATGAATAATTAAAAGACAGGTGATAATGTTACTACGTACGTGTGCGATGCATCACTTGTAAGAATGCGTTGGAAATTCGTAAGGATAATAAGAGAAGGGTGTGGATAGGAATAAAATAGAGAGAGGGAGAGATAACGAGAAAGAGAGTGTGTGTGAGAGAGAGAGAGAGAGAGAGAGAGAGAGGGAAGGAGTAGAGGGAGAGAGCTTGGGCGACTGGAAAAGGATAGCGAGATATCCAGGTTTAGGGTTTGGTTTAATTAATAAAATAATAAATTCATAATAACGGTCCGTGTTAGAACATAACAACATTGTGTAAATGATTAGAAAGAAGAATAAATTATAACTGATCAGGAAGGGTAAAAATAAGGAAACACTAAATAAGGATCTTTTAAAAAGCAAAGTATTGCAAAGGTACTCCTGGCGTAAGGGGTTATTGATTTTAACCTTGTAATTTGTTCGTTATTGTTGTTCAAATGTATCTTTGTATTTGTATGTACATGTACCTTTGTATAAAAAACCACCGGAACACCATTTTCTATTGAATGGGCCATTTAAAAAAAAAACATGTGAACTAACTAAATAAATGAATGACTACATTAATAAATAAATACATAAACATATAAATTATAACAAATACGTGGAAAAACATGATGCAGACGCATTCACATTTGCTATTTAACACTAATTTTATGTACAGTTTGATGGTGCTAAATGAATCTTGGTTGAAGAAGAAGAAGAAAATCTTACTAAAGCAGGTTGGTTTGCCTGGGGGATCATAGACTCCACTGCGGCATGTTGTTGTCGATACCCCGACCAAGGTATAGTTCGTGTTACATTCATAAATGAGAACCTCGCCGTTACTAAAAGTATCTTGATCTGGACTGACGCCTCCATTGGTCAGAGTGGGTTTGGCACAGTTGGCTGTTATGTAAAAAAAGATTGGAATATAATAATGATAATAATAATAATAGAAATGATAATAATAATAACGATAACACAAATGACAATAAGAATAGTGATAATAGTAATAACAATACTAATGTTTATAACGTTACCAGCAACAAAAACAGCTACAATAATAATAATTAAAAAAAAAAAAAATACGTACCAGTTCAATCAGAACTTCAGGACTCCTACAAAGGACTATTATAGAAGTATTATCCTGACTTTAGCCTAACTACCCTAAGGCGCCAAAATCATTCAAGGAATAGATTCCTGAAGTTACCCATTGCTACACATGGGTGGAGCGTGGAAAATGCAGATCAATGTCGTAACAAAGGACATGTGGTCCACAGCCGAGAGGCGTATCGACTTGACCACGATATCTCTCATATAGAGTTCCGAAGCTGAGACATCATCATTTTAAAAAAAATATAATTTCTCAATTTTTTCTTCATTTTCCACAAGAAAATCAATTGAATATATTAAGTATTGGCTGAGATTAAGACCATCTGAATAAAAAGATGTCCTATGGGAACTCAGTGTTATAGCGCTCTGGTTTATAACATTAAGAAACAGAGCACTATAACACTGGGTTTCCATAGAACATATATTTATTCAAATGGTCATAATTAACATATTCAATTGGTTTTCGACATTCAGACATTATTTTTGATGCTGTTTTGGAAAATGAAGAAGAAAAAAAAAAATTGAAATTCTAAAAATAGATTTTCATGATGTCACAGCTTCGGTGCTCTATTTTTAATTTTATTGTAATGGAATGCCTTCGACTATATTTTCTCTCATATACTACCCAAACATCTAAGTCTCTTATCAGTGAGAAATGCTCTGCTTGATTTGTGTCTGAAAACAGACTGCGTTTTATGCTTTATCCTGCGATAATAATGCAATATATTATTGGAGAGATTTTGTGTTTAGACGTATTGTGTATATAACAGTGTCAAGAACCGAAATCGACAACAATTTGTTATTTTTATTTGATAAAAACTATTGTTGAAATGTGTACCTTATCACGAATGCAAATATTTATATTATTTCATAATTATCAAACGATCAACTGAGATTAATAAATAAAGTTTTTATATGACTGTGTTATTTTGAATTGAGATATCGTCAGGTGAAATCCATGTATTAAATCGTAACGAGTTTGAGTTCCTCCACACATACCCGAGAGTGTGGTATATTCAGCAGTTCTGTTTTGCTCGAATATTGCTGGCAATAACTTCAGAAAAATCAAATTCAGGGTGATTTCAAATACCCTATTCTATGTCCCATATAAATAATTTTCGTAATACATGTACGTAATACGTCAATGTTTGTTCAATACGTGACGCACAAGACTATTGTAGATGCCTTAATAGGTTGATTTTTTTTCTCGAATGTAGTTGCTATCGCATTGACCCTTTAAAAGTTGATGGGGGTACTCAATCTGCTTGATACGCCACTGGTAATTGTTCTTGTATTTGATTATTTAAACACGTAACAGAAATATTCACAATTTAGTATACTATAATGTCATATACAGTGTCATACAAAATGTAACTATGCAGCGATTAGCAGTATAGCAGCAACAAAAAAACATTCGTCTCAAACAACGAAAATATATAATATCATTCTGATTTAATTGTTCTTTTTATATTTCCATCGTGGCAATGCGTTACCGAACAGAATAACATTAAACGTTAGGATACATGCAAATAAAAGTCTCATTCACTTAAAAAAAAAGCAAGTGAAATGAATTGGTGATATAAACACATCTTTAAAACCAAAAAAAAACATAATCAACTGAATGTTCACATATTGCATTGATGGGGTTCGATAGGAAGATAGAAGTAAGAAACATAGGGAGGTACCTAAATAAGAAGATAGAAATGGGTGGAAGAGGGTATAGGTTGCATGAGAGCGAGAGAATATATCAAACGAAAGGATGAAATTGGACAGAAACAGGTAAGGGAGAAAGGGGAAAGAAGAACAAGAAAGAGAGAGAGAGAGAGAGAGAGAGAGAGAGAGAGAGATAATACGGGTTAAAATAGCCGGAGGTATTAATAAAAAATAAAGTAACACTTTTTTTGTTCAGGTACATTTAAAAAATAATCTAATTAATCCGCTAAAACGCACAGCTTGAATTTCATGAACCTCAACCTTAATGATACTTTACTACTTCCATACAGAACTTACCTTCGCAGGTGGGTACAGTGGACGGATTCCAGACCCCACCCGTTTCGCAGACCGCTTCAGATGGGCCTCCCAACGTATACCCGTCGTTGCAGGCGTATGTGATTCGGGTATATAAGTCATATTCAGCAGTATCGGGATCGATACTGCCGTCTGTTGGTACCGTAGGTTGGGTGCATGAAGTCACACCTACGACAACAAATATGCCAAAAGTGCGTCATAACACGGGATAGGTCTTAGAATACTAGTAGAGGACTGCAGTGTATTTGATATAATTGTTAATATTATTAATATTATTATTATTATTATTATTATTTCTTCTTCTTCTTCTTCTTCTTCTTCTTCTTCTTCTTCTTCTTCTTCTTCTTCTTTCTCTTCTTCTTCTAATAATTATTATGTTACCAACAAAACAAAAAAGTAATCGTAATGTGTCATTCACATACTGCCACAGCAAAGTGACATTATATTAACAAAAATTAATATAAAAAAATCTCAACCACACAACAGTAATTTTTGATTTAAAAATCAAAGGCCGTCTACACGGGTATGTAATTATTTTTTGTTTTGAATTCATATTGTTCTTACTGTGCCACTGGATATTATAGCAATATTGCATCCTGTCTCAATTCTACCACATGTACTATAAGTCGTAACACCCCCACCCCTCCCACACGCACACTAACGCCATCCTGCCTTAATTTAAGTTGGGGACCTATTCCCGTGGGAATCGTTTACTTCTTTTTTTATTCGCGGGGGGGGGGGGGGGGGCGAGGTCATTATTATCTCCCCCAACACACACACACACACACACACACACACACACCATATCCATTGAATGTTATGTTTATTTATTGTGTTATGAATAATTTTGAAGAAATTGTTGAAATATTGCTATTCATAGGGATATCGTTGTTATATATGCTTCTATCTAAAGCAGTTCAAGATGGACTTGCTCCATAAGTTCTAAAACATCATAGATATCATGTCCTGATTTTTGACGGTGTAAAAATAGGAAGGAGATTTATTTTTAAAAAAAGAGGGGGGGGGGGTGATATAGCTTCTACCTTCGCATGTCGGTGCGAACGGAAATTGCCATGTCCCATCGTAGCAATCGTTGAAAGGAGGTCCCCTCAGATCACCAGTACAGGTATAGGTCACTCCATTTCCGGCGCCGGTGGTATAGCATTCTTGTACTGGGTCTATGCCACCTCCAGAACCCAGGACCGGTGATAAGCCATTGGTACCGTCATAACAACAATCTAAATGAAAAAGAAATCTATTAATTATCTGAAACATTACGGTGGTTTCTAATTTCATTTAAACGCGTTATTACAAAAAAAGAGAAGTCTGTTTTGGCATGATTTTATCTCCCCGAAATTCTTTTCATTTACCATGTTTTTTTGTGTACATATATCAATATCGAGATAGATATCTTTGTTGTTGCAATACAAGCCTGATTGTAAGTATTAGGAATAGAAAAAATAAACTTTTCAAAATTATTTCGAACATTGTCAATATTGTGTTTTTGGAGTAGAATGGTTAATTTCTTACCTGTTCCTGAGCACGTCGATCCATCGCCTTTATTGAAAATAATTAGAGATAAAATTAATCGGAAAGACATATGTTAGAAGTTCACAAAATAAGCATGTATTGATTGGATGATTCGGTATTCACAGTAATTTTAAAAACGATAATGGTCCTACACATTGCCTGCTTCGGTCGACAAATTGAACAAAAAGCGAACGTCACATTCAAATTCTTATAACTATCAAAGCATCAAAAATGCAGTTACTAACCCACTTAATTGTGATTCATAATATGGGCTTAAAATAGGCTGAAAACACAAATACAAATGTTGGTACAGGAGAACACATCGATTTTCTTCTTTTTTCCATTATAGAATGCTTTTCCATTTGGGGAGCGGTTGATTTAGATGTAAAAGACACTTGTCTCGTTTGATATCACACAGTTTTTCTGAGGTCCTGAGGTTATTAAAAAAAATAAAAAAATCTAGTTGAAACCAACAAAATAAAATTCTAATTAGAAAATATTCAGTCACAGGTGACTGTAGCTTCATATTGACGTCTAAATATCCCGAGCAAGAACAGTACGAAACCATTAATCAAACACATTACTAATTGACGCAGAATAAGCCGATTAATTGAATGTAAACCAATTACAGTATACCAATATATATCTTTTCACCGTAGTCCTGAATATGAAAAGAAAGCAATTATATTTCGGCGTTCCACTCATGTATCATGCATTCTGAATAAAGCGACAATTTTCATACTTACTGTTTGTGCAATCCCCGTTTACATCTGAAACAAAATACAAAAAAGAGACGAGTTAATTATATAAGAACTATTCCCAGACATGGAAAATTGGTATTTTGAAAAGAAGGTAAAGAACAAAAAACTATTTCTCCAATTGAACTCATTACAAAAAAGCGAGGAAAACAAAAATTATAACTGCCATCTTAAAATCAAAACAAACTCAGTAGACATATACTTTTTTTACAAGTTGATTTTGTTTTGTTTCAACGTTGAATAAACTAAATAACTGTTTAGTGCATTTGAGCAATGATTGTTTTGATATAAACAGATAAAGGTATTTTGTAAATTAACAAATATGAAAATAATATCTGGAGTAAACTCTAAGGTTTAATGAAACTGCACGTAATTATCATCGATTACAATTACATTACCCTTTTAAAGAAAAGTATTACTGTTCAGGAAAGATAGCGTCGGCTGCCAGCAAAAAGGCTCTACGTATTGCCAGTGGTA